CACTTGTTCACACAGGGCTATATAGTTTTGGATTTTGTTTTCCCTTAATAATAAAAACCTTCATTTAAAAACTGCATGATGTGCTTACTTGTTATCTTTGACTAATATTTAAATTTGTTTGATGATCTGAAACATTAAAGTGTGACAAACATGCAAAAAGATAAATCAGTAAGGGGGCAAACACTTTTTCATACCACTGTATTCTATAGGTGATGAGTTCAGAGCTGTTTTTCTCCTCTCAACAGATAAACATTATGCATCCACCAGCAATGAGAACACAGGTGTACTTCAGGTGACTCCCTTCAGGCCCACCCCCATCATGGTGAAGGGTGAGTCCTAAGATGTCCAGTCACTGCTGATCAGAGCAAAATTAGGACAGCGATTATGTTACTGGATCTAGCTGAACACACTGGTGTGTTCAGACTGTCATGTGACAGAGCTGGGGCTGAACAGTAACAGTCAGTGAAGCACATTCGGGCTTCAGTAAACATGATCATTTCTGCAGCACTGGCTGCGCTGAAAGCAAACCCAGCAATGTTAGTTTGACTTGAAATACACCCACATAATGAAGAAGCATCCAGGACCAACCACTGGTGGCTCGGTTATATAGAAACGTCCTTTTCTATTTAACCAAACTAATTAGACAAATACACAGGAAAGCTATTTGCTCAGAGAGCCACAATGCTTTCAGCAGTTGTGATACTTGTGAATCAGAATGTACAGAGATGAAATAAGTAACAGTTTGCCCTGCTAAATGTGACATCTAGTGTGGTCATGTATGTTTGGTGTCAGGGCTGGCAGATACAGAGTGGCCTGGAAGGAATCAGACGCTGAAACACGGAGCAGTCACCTACTTCCTGGATGGAGCTCACACCATGCGCAGTATGCAGGCCTGTGTACACTGGTTCAGAGAGACTGCAGCCCAACATGAAAGGATTGCAAGGTCAGCATCACTTCCTAATAACGCTCTTTTCTTTAACAATCCAACACTTCTAACATCTGCTAATGAAACTGATGTACAATGGCAAGAAAAAGTATGTGAACCTCATGATTTTCTGCATTAATTTGTCATAAAATGGGATCTGATCTTCATATAAGTCAAGAGTATTGACTTAACTCAAGGGTTCACATACTTTTTCCACTAGCACTGAGGTTTTTGTCAATACTTTTGACTTGGATGAAGATCAGATCACATTTTATGATAAATTATCACAGAAAACCATGAAATTCCAAAAGGTTCACATACTTTTTCTTACCACTGTAAAACCATGTGATGTTTGTTTTAGTGGACCTGTGGCCAGAGTTTTACTGTTCAATGCCACAGGAGAGAGAGACTCAGCAGCCATGCTTAAACTACTGGTGGTGAGTACAGCTGCTTTCAGCAGTACAGAGAATTTTTCTTTTTATTTTTGATCCTTTCATTTATATATTATACATTAGAAATTTGATAGTTTATTTCCCTTGTAAATTGCTATTGAAGACAGATGCAGGGCTAATAATGCTAAGAGCATCAGTGTTATTCTTAGATTGTGCTGCATGTCGAGTAAGTTATGTAATAAATGTGTTGCTATTTGGAAGGTGATGCATTTTTCTTCCATCTTGTGTTTCTGTTCAGCCATGTCAGTTTGACTTTGCTGTGTTCTGCCCAAACATCACTGAGGCCATTGCTTCTTGTAATGCAGGTGAGACCATTCACAGCCTTGTGTTATAGATGTTCTTAGTCTTTGTTTTCGCAGGTTTATCCACTGAAAACCCAGCACAGTAGACATTTTGACAAGTCATAACAGTGCATGCACCGGTGTAACTGAAATTGGGCCACTTGAAGAAAATTGGTTTCACCTTTACTTTCCCGCTGTAATAAGTCAATTCATAAAATAAATACAAGGGTAAAACATCCAATTTGGTAAATACTGTTTATAAGCACTGTATGATGGGCGTTAGTCACCAAATTCATATTTGATTGGATAAATTTATGTAACAGCTGATATAAAAAGGAATGTATTTTGGATGATTTGACAGCTTTGATTGGCAGACATACTGTTGCTCCATCTCTGGTCATTACTGCACAAAAACTGGCCCTAATCACCCCATTAATCCCTTTCTTCTTAGACCAGCAGAACTTTAATGTCTCAGTGGAGAACATGTTGACTCGCTGTTTGGACAATGAGAGGAGCTGGCGGCTCCATCACAGCCCAGGGGACAGCAAAGGTACACAGCTGCTGATCGAGCAGGGCCTGCCCCTGGTCCCTGAAAAGAAAGCAGAAACCCTGGTCTTCCCTTGCATCCTCAGTGCCCTTCAGTGGATTACCCAGGGCAGGGATTCAGTGCTCACAGATCCAGCCAAGACTGTCTTAGAAGTTAAACCCAGCATCATGGCCAAAGCTGCTCCACTCTGCAACGCAGCCGAGATGCACATCCTCATCACCGGGAGCCTCCACCTGGTAGGAGGAGCGCTCAAGCACCTCGACCCAGCTGCCTCCAACTAAAGGGGACATTCAGACAGTTAAAATAATAAATTGCAGCTCTGGTTACATAATTTAGCTTTGTGGAAGAAAGATTGTCTTTAAAGATGAAGTTTTTCCTAGTACTAGCTATTTGAACAATGACTTAAGATGATCACCTTTAAGTGATTAGCTGCATCCAGATGTTGTCTTGGTAGCTGTAGTTTACAGTGATAGGTGTGAAGAGACCGCTAGTTTGGACCAAGCCAGTTCCAGGCCTCAGTATCCCAGCTTCACCAAGAGCCTTACAGGTGGTTGCATACATGTGTATCTTTAGTCTTACTTGAAGCTAAAAGTGTTTACATGAACTGCAGAAGGTACATTCATTACACCATGTGTGAATTGAGTTGAACTGGAACTGTGTACGTGTGTGCTTCAGTGGTCACTGATACCACCTGGATGATCCACAGTGGCATGATGGGATTATTACAATTCTACAAAGCAGCTCAATAGACACCAAAAAGTGCTTCATAGCCTATATGGAGTTGTTTGTTTTTAGGGAACTAATTAGAGCACTTGACTTGCATTTCACTCTTTTAATAAAAACCATTTTGCACTGTTGCTACTTTTGTACATATTTGAGAATGTTCTTCATACACCTGGCCAGTTCATCTTTTTGCTGTAGATGTGTAAACATTCTAACTCCATGGGCGTGGGCACCAGTTGAATTCACTTAGCTGTCAATCGAACAGGTAATGCTTTATTTTACAAGTCTATTTCCTAATAACGTCTTGAGAGTTTCCTGCCAAGAACCATGTAGTTTGGTATTAGTTTTTTTTTTCCTTAGTTAGTCCAGAGTTGACTTTATTATTGACTTCCATATCAATTTCCATGAAAGAAATTGCTCAGCAGCACCCCAGTTAGTATTTACTCTTTCTAGTCTTCATTTATACAGAGATGTGTGGTTGTTTGTGGACAAACTTAACATTTTGCCTGTGTAGCTCATGTTCTGTCTAAAGAAAGCCTCAAGTGTGCACTACTTTACCATTTAAAAATAACTGGAGCTGAACCAACTGCTCACTCTAATTGTACCTGTCATTAGTACCAAATTATATGGTTCCTTCCAGGAAACTTTAGAAATAAACTGGAATTTACAGACCTGTGAAATAAAGCGTCAACAGTCCAATTCAGTGTGATTTGTGTACACTTTCATTATATTTAAGTGCTCCTTAATTTCAGTTTGCATTATGAGAAGTACTTGCAGTTATTTTGTGTGTGTACGTATGTATAATGGAGACATATATAAGTGTATGTCATGCTTATGTTTGTAGTCGATCCTTTCACTGAAGCTAATAGCTACTGTAATTCAGTTTTAGTATGAAATAAACAGTCCATGTGGACTCGTCAAGTCGGTGCACTTAAAAGAAACTTGTCACTTGCATGTAGTGAAGAAAAATGCACAATAAAAATATAGTGTTAGCTATTGTTTTCAATATTTCATGTTCTCTCTTGTGAATCTTTATTTTGGCTACTTCCTTATGCTAAACAGAAGAGAAGACAGTTCGAACATAATTTGCAATGATGGACACGGTCATTTTTGACCTGGTTACAGATTTTAATATATGGTTTTGTCTAAAGAAGACGAAGTGCTGCTAAAAATCAACTCACCAAAAATTTTCCTGGTGACATCACCTCTGCAGACACAGACCATGTCATACCTTTTTTACACAAATATTTACAGTGTTGGGTTTTGTGATACTTAACACCTTATTATGAAATCGGCAAAATACAAGGAATATCTTTTCATATAACACAATCCACCACAATAAAGACCTTTTCAAAAATGAGCATAACTCATTCTACACAGAACAGTCAGAAGGGTTACTGGTATTTATTGCAGTTGTGTTTCCATTGTTTTAAACCTTTACAGCTTACTCTCTATGAGCTCCTACCTGTAACAACTAGTATGAAGTTAAATTTCAATCTGGACCTTTACAGCAGCAGTATAGTTACTGTACGTGGCTTTTCTTCCTTCACTAAATCCTGTAAGTTCTGTAATGTCTGAGCACACAAAATATTTTGAGTGCTTAAATTGGTATATTAGCATTTATGATGAATCCAGTGTGCAAAAAACCTTATCCAGCTTACCAGGTGTAGAAAGCAAAGAGGAAAGGTGGGTCTGTTTGTTTGTTAGTCTGTGACGTGGGTCAAGTTTAGGCCTCCAAGGAGCCAGATTTCATCTATCTTGATAGTTTGACAAATTTCAATATGCTGCAAGAAAAATCTGCAAACACAATACAGCAGGTCGACGTTTGAAAATGGTTATTTTGATCTCATAGTGACATGCAGTAATTACGGAAATGAATTAGAGCTACTATAAAAAATGTATTTGAGTTCTTACTGTTTTCTGAGAATGAATAAATTATGAGAAAGAACAGAGTTTAAAGTAATAATTCTGAGGAAAAAAGGCAGAACTCAAATTAAGGTTTTTCACAGTGGCCCCAATCCTCTTCTATAATGGCCAATTGAGCAGAGGTGATCAACTTATTTCATAAATGATGTCAAATGAGTTTTTTTTAACAAGATACCTCTGACCCCCAGTTTGAGGGTCTTGTGTCAGGAAAAAGAAGTCAAAAGAGCTATATTTTTAAGAAAAGTTAATCTTTTTCTCCTTTTTCACAGCACTGGCAGGCTTTTTGGCATAAAATCACTTTTTAAAACTCAGTATGAGAACAAATATCTCTTTTATGCCGATATTTTTTACAGCGGGGAGCAAGAAGGCTTGGCTTGTGCTGAAGTGAAAGTAAAAGGAAAACCTGGTAAAAAGCGCTGACAACAGCCTGACACGGCTTCTGTTGAAGGTTTTTATTGTCACAATCGGAACACAGCTTCATCTCCATCTGTTCTGTATTCACATTGAAGATGCTCCACAGTTTGAAGCCCTGTGAAACGCAGACTGGAGGTTTCTGCTTTGAAAACAGCCGCAGGTAGGAAACAGTGCATACTAAAGCTAAAATGGTGCTCAGGACTACGTATTACCACAGAGGGCCAAATACTATAGTGTGCTCTCTGCTCTTTGTAGTGAGGTTATAAAGGCCGCTTAAGTGAGTCTCTGTGGAACGACTTTAAAGTCACACAAAACGACTACAAACAATGTGATCATGTCCGTATGGGGGTCCTATGTACCTGTCAGCACCCAGGGGCCTATTGTCTCATAATCCATCCATGCATTGTGTAAACATATTACTAACATTTCTGTATACCCAGTACTGGGCAGTATACAAAATAGCTATAGGATGTTGTTGCGCTAACCAGTTCTTGTTACCATTGCTAACTCTGAGAGACGAGACAGTCCAAGTAACTTCAAAACAGTGCTGATTTATTCAAAGGATCACAGGTAAAATTAACATTACACGCTCAGGTATCTTGCACCTCCAAACTGCTCACAGGCAGATGTAAGATGAAAGACCCTGAACCCACCAGGCCTATACATTATATCCCCTCGGTTGGGCTAGCCCCATACTACACAGAAACGTCAACCGAGACGTCTCTGGTGCCAGCTTTGCAGCAAAACATGAAGCAAATCAATGTGCGTGTGTGTGTGTGTGTGTCTGTTGATTAAGTGGTGTGTAGCTAAAAACATTCTCACGACCTCTAGTAACATGTCGTGACTTAAACATAAGAACATATTATGGCTAAGGCTACAGTTATACACATCATACTGCTGACAGTCATCAACTCTTCTCTCTAGTTATCCTTGACCAGATGTACCTTGTAGAAACTCATAAGCAGGCCTAAGCATTTAACAGTCTAACTAGACATCCTATCTCTACTAAACATTTCTAATACATAAAGTATCTATCCAATTTCTATCTGACTAAAAATACCTAACAATGTTAAAGGAAGGATAATAGGAAGTAGGAAGGTGGCAGTGAATCCTTCAGCCTGTCTGTCTGATTTCCAGGAATGCAGTGCTGGAGTCCAGTTTGTCAGAGCTTGGCTACAAAGCTCCTAGTGCCAGAAAGACAGGGACCACCATTGCTGGGATTGTTTACAAGGTGAGGATGAGCCTTCGTGTTTTCACTGGCAGACACATACAAAGTCGTGTACTTAAAGGAACACTCTTCGCTGTTTTGTTCCTGCCCTTGTTCACCAGGATGGCGTGATCCTGGGAGCAGACACGAGGGCTACAGACGACATGGTGGTAGCTGACAAAAACTGCAAGAAGATTCACTACATTGCTCCAAAGATCTAGTGAGTAAAACCAGAGTCTATCCATCAGTCTGGCGGTGTCCTCTGTGTCGCTGTGTCTTTACAATGTGTCAAATGATAGCCTACATTTCTCTGTTAGTGTGAATGACTTTTACTTTATATAGATTGGTTCACTGTATTGGTTCAGCATATACAGTATTGACTATAGGTGTTTTTGCCATTTTTTACTGTCTCTCACATTAATTTTCATGTTTCAGCTGAAAAACGAATATGGTTAAATACACTGTAAATAAATATGCAAATTTTCTTTATTGTCCCCTGTAGGATTGGCTGGAAATTTTACTGGTGTCACACAAAGCATTGTGATCAGTAACCTCTGTTGTGTCACCATTGTGTGGTTATTTCTTTTATTAAATATAAGGCTGCAAATGTATTAAAATCACATAAATGGATTTGTATCTAGGGATGCAAAAAGACAATTAGAGATGTTATACATTTTGATTTATGATAAAGAAAGAAAGTTCGTTGCCAGCTGAATATTTCAGATCCAGTTTGACTAAATCTGGAGCAAAATGATGATGATTATGCACATCTGTTACTGTAATAACTGATGGCAGAGTTGGTTTCTGAATGTTGTGCCAATAAAACCAAGTAGAAGTACTTAAGTCATGTTTATGAAACTGTTCAACTGTGTTTTGCATGTTGTGTAGCTGCTGTGGAGCTGGAGTGGCTGCAGACGCTGTCACCACCACACAGATCATGTCGTCCAATGTGGAACTACACATGCTCAACACTGGGCGACCGCCCCTCGTTGCTATGGTGACCAGACAGCTGAAACAGATGCTGTTCAGGTGAGGAGATATAAAGGAACCAGAATCACTGGTTGTCAATTGCAAAAAAATTTAAAATTGATAACACACATTTCTCCATACTAAGTTCACTTTTCAAAGCAACATGATGAAGCTCAGTAAAACAGTTCATCTCCAAAATTCACCAGTGCAACTAAACAATTGATCCATATATCAACTCTGGTACCAAAATACTAGCAACACTGTCTTTCAACAAGAAAACCATTCAGAATACACTGACTCAAAACCCTAACTACAGGAAGCATTACATTATGGATGACTACTGTTTCATTTATTTGGCATAAACCAAGTTTCCATCACAACAAAAAGCAGGGCACGTCTTTATACCTGGATTGTGCTATGTCACAGAAATGAATCAGAAATGTCCATCTAATTTATTTTTGTGCTATGTTTTCAGGTTTTGAGTTTAAATTTAACACTATGTAAACATATAAAATGGAGTATAAATACACAGAGACTTGGTGATAGTTGGGTGTGAGTGAGAAAACACTTTGCAGTGACGTCTGCTTGGTTTTTCAGGTACCAGGGTCATGTTGGTTCATCCCTGATTGTTGGAGGAGTTGATGTGACTGGAGCTCACTTGTACAGTGTTTACCCACATGGCTCCTACGACAAACTGCCTTTCCTCACGATGGGTATGTGTTCACGTGTATATTTACAAGTGTGTGTTTAGTGTCCTGTATCTGAAGGGTGAGATGTCTGAGAGAAACCTGCTTATTTCAGATTTATTTCTTATTTTAATCAGCTGAATTAATTTAGTTTCACTCAGGACCAGCTTTCAAAGCCTGACCATGCAGAACCTGTGTAAGCAAAATTAAAAGGTACAAAGATGTTTAAAGTTTAATTCTGGTTTCAGGTTCTGGAGCTGCGGCTGCTGTCTCTGTATTTGAGGACAGATTCAAACCAAACATGGAGGTGAGATTCTGGCTTCTTGTCATGACAAATGTAATTCAGTAGAAAATACAGTATGTTTTAATAAAGAATAGAGAATGGAATTTATACTTAAAGGCATGTTGTCCAATGCAATTCAAATCATAGTATGGGAAATACCTGCTGTGTAAATATACCAACAAAAACAAGACCATAGCCGATTACCTGAAAGAAGCAGGTGTGAGTCTTCTAAACAGTAAAATAACCAACCACTCGATAAGGGACACAGGACATAATTGCACTATGAAATTTTATTCGAAACCCATTCCTACCAAGTGTTTTTGACTAGAGATGAGCTTCCATGTGACATGAATTAAAGTGAAACAGACACTAGTGTGATAGTCAGCTCAAGTTAGAGCTATGACCACACTGTCACCGGACTTCATGTGCCGCTTGTGTGTAAAACCCCAATTTCAGCATTCTTAAAAAGCTCCATTTTGCTTATCCACACTAAAATGTGAGGTTTCCACTCTGAAAACTGTTTTGTGTTGCAATAAATCATACAATATAGAGTCAGTTTGTTACACTGTTAAGGTTGTAATACAATAGGTCCATCACAGACTTGTGATCTTTGGCAGTGTATATAGTTTGACCATTGCTTTCCCTGGTGTGTGCTGATCCTGAAAATGAATCTGTACAAAGAATCACCCAGTTGTTCCTCTCTCCCTTCCAGCTAGAGGAGGCGAAGCAGCTCGTAAGAGACGCTATCACTGCAGGGATTTTCTGTGACCTGGGTTCAGGCAGCAATGTGGACTTGTGTATTATCTCAGAGGCTGGAGTAGAGTATCTGCGAGGTTACGACAAGCCCACGGTGAAGGGCAAAAAGTGAGCTAATACACACACATATATATCTTTTATCAGGGGAGAGACAGTCATGGGTCTTCTATTTATGCAAAAAATAATTTCTTAGGCAGCTGTTCCAGTGCTACATAGTCAGTAGTGCTAATGCTGACATCTCAGCAAGGGTGACAAGACTGATGGAGAATTGGATACACTGGGGTAATAATCTTAAATGTTAATTTTAAGAAACAAGTCAAATGTTCGGCTTGTCAAACCATAAACTAGAAACTGCTTTAGTAAGGATGGAGCCAAGATATTTCTCTATGCTGTCTCACCAGTACATGAAACAACACACCACCACTGATACAGGGTAAAAGTGTGTCTAAATATGGCCTAACATATTTCTCTTCCTTGTCTGTTTTTTTTTTTACAGAGAGGGACAATACAGGTATAAGCCTGGCACCACAGCCGTCCTGACCAAAACTGTGACGCTGCTCCCTCTAGCCGTGGTGGACCAATTTGTTCAGATCATGGACACTGAATAAATTAAAGTAAACTGGTCCTGCTGACTGTCTCATAAAATAAAAGCTTTTGTTTGTAAAATGACCAGAGCTTGCATGTTATTTGGTGACTGCACCTGAAGGGCTATAAGAATATCTGCCACTGCAACCTGTATTTTTCCTTTTTTCTTATTAAAACATGGTGCCCCATGAATCGGAATTTTACACATTGCACAGAATGCAGAGCAGCTTTATTGGCACAATATGTAAAGTGCCATGGGATGGTTTTTTTGTTGTGGTTTGGCACTATACAAATAAAATGGAAGCTGAATTAAATATATAGCAGTAAATTATAGTAAGACTTAAATTAGAAGTATAATCAAGAAATGAGAACATACTGGCAGGAAAACTGGAATACAGAAAGTAGGGGCAGACATTCCAGCATGCTAAAGAAAATATGAGAGATGAGAGGAATAAGCAAAATTAAAAAAGGAGGAAGCTGTTATATCAAGAATGAGGTGAGAGGAAATGTTGTGGTTAACAGCACGTGTAAGGTGGGTAAAGATGCAACTGGCAGTGGTGGAAGATGTACTCAGATTCTTTACTTAAGTAAAAGTAGCAATAGGCTACCACAGTGTAAAAATACTTGGTTACTAAGAATCCTGTATAAAAATATTACTTACTGTAAGTAAAAGTACAAAAGTATTAGCATCAAAATATACTTACAAATACCAAAAGTAGAAGTATTCATTATGCAGAATAGCACAATACACATGAATGTATGTTATTGGATTCTAATTATTGATACATTATTGTGAACATCATGTTAAATATTTATAAAGGTGGAGCTAATGCTACCTTATATGTTACTACTACCTTACATAAGGTTGGGAACCTTTTAAAATAATGGAGTTAATATGTTTTTGCACATGTGAAATAGCACCTAATGTTATTGTTAAGGCAAATAGGGATGTGGTGCTGAGAGGTTAATGTGAAATCTAACGTCAGTATTTACACTCCACGGCTCCCATGCAGCACACGACTCCCATGCAGCATATATTCTCTCTGCATTATGTTGTGTTCTTGTATTTTTATTTGCTTCCTTCACTTGTTGCTTCAAAGTGCCTTAGCGTTGTGATTTTACTGCCTATTTAGATTTGCATTATTGCTCATCTACTGTATATTTCATTTTATATTTCACTTGTATTATGTGGCATTCATGTGGACGGCAAAGTAAGAATTTCATTGTACAGGGAAACATGTTTCCTAACTGTGCCTATGACAAATAAACACTTTGACCTTGACCTAATGTTACTACCTTATATGGTTATAACTTGAATGACTTTTCATACTGCTGGGTAGCCTGTGAATGTTCCACCAGTAATCAACAATTTTATGATAACAGTGTATGTTGTATTATTAATCCGATTATGAATTTGAAAAGTAAATAGTAAGTAAAGTTTTCGAATACCTGCAGTGGAGTAAAAAGTACAATATTTGACTCTGAAATGTAGTGAAATTAAGGTATCAGAAAATGAAAATACTCAAGTACAGTACAGATACTTCAAACTTGTTCTTTGGTACAGTACTTGAGTAAATGTAGAACAGGAAACAGTAGAACGTGTAGTTACAGCATACAGTGTCCTCGGTACCAGCAAAAAAAGAAAAAAAGTTCTCAAAGAAAAATTGTCAAAGTTAAGTTGTCATAAACTGGAATAGCCTAAGGGAAAGTTTGCAATTGAACTAACTCAAGTCATACGTTTTGTGAAAAGCAGGAGTCAATACATGAATGTAGTATAGTATGAAAGCCATTTTGGTACACTCTCCAAGTCAGAAGGTGGCGGTAATGTACCTAAACTTGCTTGCCAACCACCAAGATATAGCAGAGAAAGAAGACTTTTGTCCCGCCCCCTTGTTCCAAGCTCATTGGTTTAGTGAGTAACGAGCTGTTATTTGAATTTCATTTGGATCTTCCTGTGTTGACGTGTGGTTTGTGTACTTCGGTTTTGCAGTACTTTATTAATCTGAGTTCGGGAATAGTTTTCAACACCAAAGGTACGTTTAGGCTACAGTTACAATATAAGGTTGGGAACCTTTTAAAATAATGGAGTTAATATGTTTTTGCACATGTGAAATAGCACCTAATGTTATTGTTAAGGCAAATAGGGATGTGGTGCTGAGAGGTTAACTTGATATGCAATCGTTGTCTTGTGAGATAAAAGTGACTAAGACCTTATTTTATATGTTAGCCTTGTGTGTCAAATCGGTGTTCCGTGTGTTACTCCTTCACTCGGACTAATAGACTCAACATCTGAAGCCTTAGTCCTTGCGTGTTTTCCAGTGAGGAATAGTGACGCCGGTGTTAGGTTATTTAAAGACTGCCGACAAGTTCAAGTTAGAACCTGAGTACTTGACCCTTGCAGTGAAGGGAGGTTATCTGTCATGGTATTGGTCCACTTGTCCCCTTAGACTCTAATTTGCCTTAGAGGGACGGGTCACTGCAAATTAATACAAAATTGTTCTGAGTGATCGTCCATTGATTAAACACTTTTATCCTGATGGGAGTGGACTCTTCCAAGATGACATCGCCCATCCATAGAACATGAGGGGTCACTGAATGGTTTGAGAATGAAGTGAATCATATACTATGGCCTTCACAGTCAGCACATCTCTACCAAGTTGAACACCTATGGGAAATTTTTGGAGTGAAGTGTTAGACGGCATCTCCACCGCCATTTAAAAACTACTAAACACATTGTTGGTCACCCAGACTGCTTTCATCAATACACCAAAATGAGGGGAATATCTGTTGGAAGAATGGTGTTTCCATTGATTAAACACTTTTATCCTGATGGGAGTGGACTCTTCCAAGATGACATCGCCCATCCATAGAACATGAGGGGTCACTGAATGGTTTGAGAATGAAGTGAATCATATACTATGGCCTTCACAGTCAGCACATCTCTACCAAGTTGAACACCTATGGGAAATATTTGGAATGAAGTGTTAGACGGCATCTCCACCGCCATTTAAAAACTACTAAACACATTGTTGGTCACCCAGACTGCTTTAAAGGTTAGCATTCAGTATATCTTTAAGGAATCTGTGGTATAGGCTATGCTGTTGTGCATTGTACCACCATTTATTAAAATTCTGTTTAGTCAGAAGCAGAAAGATGTTCACACACTGATGTGAATAATCCCAGTGCTGATTTATTGAGCCAACACACAAATACAACATTTCAACCTTATGTCTTCATTGGGTGTTGTTTAACACATGATTAATCAAGACACAAAATAGACTTCATCTGACTTAGTGCAGGTGTGATTGCCCCTCTCGACCAGTACGTTAAAATCAGCAGTATGCACCCCAAATTATGTACACAGTTTACAACAAGAAGTCCCACATGACTTTTCTGACAACCAAATGTGTGACTACTGGAACAAATAATCCTGTAGAGCTGTTTATTGTATCCATCCTGTTTTGGCCATCACATTGTGATGTCAGGATCCAGATCTGCCATAATTTGATATATTACCTGTAACAACAACAAAAAAAACTACGAGTTAGATTTAATTTCAACTTAGTTCATTGTACAGACTAGAGAGTATGTATTATTGTTTTAACATAAAATAAAGAGAAATGTGTTTTTCGAGCGCATGGGGAAACTAGGGATTGGACTGAAATAACTATTTATTGTCAAGGGAATATGATTGCAGACAAGATGGCAGATTGTGATTGAGGTTTGCACACTGCACACCTTGGCAGGGAGTTGTCAACTCTTTCTGGAAGTTGGGTTACAGTTAGGGTTAAAGCTCCCCCTAAACATAACCATAACCCCTGACCCCTACTGTAAACCTAACAGTAAACCTGCAGGGGTGAACAAATTCCAGCTAATATTGCCATCTTCCTACCAAGTTCAGCAGACGTGTTCAGCGGAGCAGTATGATCTGCACATGTGACTTGGATTAGGTTTAACACTGGGTGTTCTTCCTGGTGCAGTGCTACCATTTTATCCAGGCTTGAGGCCAGAACGGTTTCATGCAGTCCCAGTGGCTGGGTGTACCCACAGCACCTTCTGTTCTCAGGTGGTCCCCCATCCAAGTACTAACCAGGCTTAACCCTGTTTAGCTTCTGAGATCGGACTTGGCGTGGATTTAAAAATATCCATCTGGAAGCAGAGAATATTTGATATTTTTACTTGATAAATGCCACTTAAATGGTTAGCATAATTCCTGATCTCTGTGCAGCTACTAGTCATTTCAGTACTAAATACAGAGTTATAGTTGTACACAGGGTAAACTGGTTCTGGTGTTTCTGGGCTGATTGGGCCAGAACGTATATATGAAAGTATCCGTGTTCTGTTTTTTTAATTGACAAGTATCTTCAGTCTTTCACAGTCTGTCTACAGTATTATTCCTCTTGTGGTCTTGACCTCTGTATTGGAGGCCATGCATCATGGTTCACCTACCAGACGGCGAAAGGGCAGACTCCCTCAGCGTCGTCCCCCGCTGCCACCCCCAGGGACCTCTGTTTCGACACCCCGGTCACCAAGAAGAAGTGGAGTTTCAAGTGAGTTTGACTGCTGACGTTTGCGCTCATTATTATGTTCCATTAGGGTTGCAGCAGTATACTGGTTTCACAGGATACCATGGTATAAAAATTGACGGTTATCATACCATGCACATTTGCTTATTAACGGTATTGAATTAAAAAAACTCTGCAATGGGTGCCACACACACATGCAGCAGACAATTGGAAAGAAAAAAGGAGTCTGACATACTTAAAATAATATAAAATCACAGCACAGACAGATTTCACAAATTTGCCAGCAGAGTAGGACATTAGTCACCACCATGATTCACCCCATACCACCTTTTTAAAGGAAAGTCTACCTTTGCTTTATTCACATCAAACACTTTATATCTGTTCTCCAGGGCCGCCTCCAGGAACTCCCAAGAAGAGAAGATTCCGACCAGGGACCAAGGCCTTAATGGAGATCCGCAAGTATCAGAAGAGCACCGATCTTCTGCTCAGGAAGGCACCCTTCTCTCGCCTGGTGGGTCAAACAGCAGCAGCCAGACAATAGTGTATAGAGTCTTAAATAAGTGAAGAACAAAGGAGGTTACAATCTCAAGAAAGCTAAAATGTGCTAAGAACAAAAGCAAAATAAGTGTATGCCCCACGGGGTAGGCCCCATAGTCTCATAAATAATTAACAACAAATTCTGGAATTTTAATTAATGAAATTTATGCAAAATCTAGTAAACTTATTAATATTTAAATTTGGTGCTAATTATTTTACAACCTAGGGCAGCACGGTGGCGCGGTGGTTAGCGCTGTTGCCTCACAGCAAGCAGGTTCTGGGTTCGAGCCCTGGCCAACCTGGGGCCTTTCTGTGCGGAGTTTGCATGTTCTCCCTGTGCTTGCGTGGGTTCTCTCCGGGTGCTCCGGCTTCCTCCCACAGTCCAAAGACCTGCAGCATAGGTTGATTGGTGTCTCTAAATTGCCCATAGGGGTGCTTGTGTGTGTGTGAGTGGTTGTTCGTCTGTGTGTTGGCCCTGCGATGGGCTGGCGACCTGTCCAGGGTGTTTGGGACTAAGCGGTTTGGAAATTGGTTGGTTGGTTATTTTACAACCTGCTTTATAGCATCAGTGAAAGAATGAGAAATGCTAGAATAGCAAACGCTAATTAAAGTTGAGGGAAACAAAATCAGTGATTTGTTTCTAAAGACATTATCAATGTTAGAAAATAGTTGTTGAGGACGTGAATAGAGTGCGAACAACAGTATGTAGTGCTGAACTGTTGAGTTAGGAATAAGTTAGGAATTTTTGAGTTCGTGGCTGGATGCACTGGAACCATCCTTAACATAACGCCTCCCCCCGACACTGTAACGTTATAAATGCTAGAGCACACAAAGCTCTACGCCTGCATTTGTTTTTAGGGGCACTGGTGAGACTGAGCGCAGACGAAAAGTTACTGCCACAGTTATGTTTAATAAAAGAAATAACATTAATGCTGCTGTCTCAGTATTAAACAAAGACAGAAGTCAAAACATATAAATGGTGAGTGTGGTGAGCAGGTGTTACCTGACCATAGTTGGTGGACGGAGAGAGACGTCAGGGAGATAATCGCCACACAGCGGACAGGTCACCACAGTTTACTGTTAGCCTAACAAGCTCGTAGACTATGGACAAAGCTTAAATATTTGCTACTTGGCAAGGTATGTTTGTTTAGCAGGTGCTTAAATTACTCCCACTGGCTCTTTTACTTGTGAAGGTTTTATTCCATGAACGTTGGCATACAAACAGCTCCCTGTCTTCACTGCTGCCATAAATTTGTCTGGGTGGTTAATAACACATCTTCCTGTGGTATGACAAACTCAGAACACATTTATTTCCACTTTACCCCAACTTTAATGGCGGGGTTGACTTGGAAGCAGAGACTGGGCAGCTCCTTTACAGTAGTACAGGAATGTATCCAGCAGAGAGGACATGGTGAAGCCACAGACAGTAGCCTGTTTAAAGTAAGAACATGCACCCTTGTTAAATTAAACATTTACATTGCTGACAGGGCAGTTATTCTGGGCAGGGAATGGCAAAATCATTTCATCCTGTCAGAGGATCCATCCATCCATTATCTATACCGCTTATTCCTGAATAGGGTTGCCGGGGGGGCTGGAGCCAATCCCAACTGACATTGGGCGAGAGGCGGGGTCCACCCTGGACAGGTCACCGGTTTGTCACAGGGCTGACATGTAGACAAACAACCACACACACCCACACTCCCTATCTGTATTGATACTCGGTATCAGCAAGTACTTAATTGTAAGTGCTTGGTCTGAAAAAAGTGCTATCAGTGTATCCCTGGTTTGAGAATGCACCCAGTGTCTGAATAAACATAATTTTCTGCTGCTGTTCTTCTCTCACCTGTATGACTGCAGCTTTGCTTTATAAAAAGTCTTGGTCCTCCATCTGGTTCAGGTTCGTGAGGTGTGCCAGAGTTTTTCTAGAGATGCTCTACGTTGGCAGGTCTACGCTCTTCTGGCCCTGCAGGAGGTAAGCAGCTGCCTCCACCACCAAGCTAACATTATGTTATCCTGTTTACTTCTGCTCAGCATTCTAAGAACACATAGTTGATTTTACTCAAACATGATGCTCATTTCAGATTTATTTATTTTTGATCTTTTCACACTGATGGTTTATGTTTGATGACAGCAGGCAGTATGTGCATGTGCAGAGGAGTGAGAAGTTAGGAAGCCCACAGGGCTTCTGATGTGACTGTGGTCCCATAGAAAGAAATTGGATGAATCAGATCTACGACCACATGTGAAGTTGTCCAAATCGTTTGTTCACATGTCTGTGAGGCCACTTCAGCATGTAATGCAAACCTCTGTCTGCTGTGTGGTGCTGAGCAGGTTGTTTACAGTGGGTTTATCAGAGCGTTTTCCCTGAGATAGCTGCCTGCAGTGGCTGGAAACTAATGAGCAGGGGTACTGCTCATCTTTTATTTTTTGCTGTTTTTATAACACTTTTACACTTTGACCTGCATGATGAATACAGTGCCCTGTGAACTTACTGGCTGTACATTAGGATGTCTGTGACGGGGAGCTTGACCTATAAATTGGGTAAATTCACAAAATGAACTTTGTATAGTGAATATTTGGCTTTTGAGAGAATTGCACAAATGTTTGAGGAAAAGACGTTTACCTTGTCACCACAATCAACTGTAGAAAACAATGCTGCAGAATTGTATTAAAAATTGTTCATTGCAAATAAAGAGTCTCATTTCCCTTATATATTTTTTCACTAGTTTTTCTTCTTTCTCATCCCACCAGGCTGCAGAGGCATTTCTCGTCATGTTATTCTCAGATGCCAACTTGTGTGCTATCCATGCCAAGCGGGTCACTTTGTTTCCTCGCGACATTCAGCTGGCCAGGAGGATCCGCGGGGTGGAAAACATGTAAATAACCTGTACAGAGTGGACAAGAGAATAGCAGCAACAGGAAGGAAGCACTCATGTTCTTTTCACTTCAGACTGTTTTTATACTTTCATAACATGTTTAATCTGTTCAGAAAATGCTATACCTGCTTTTAATCTATTTCTAATGATGTGCTATATTTTTTGGAAATTGGATTTTAATTTCCTGAAGGAAAAAAAAAGTCTTAACATTTACCAATTCTGCAATAAGCTCAAATTCAAGTACAGTGAATTTACTTCATCTCCATTAGGTTGGGTGTTACCAAGAAAAGAAATTGTCAGAAAATAATTCTTATCAACCAGACATAATTTGGTTTACACTGTACTGTCCTTTTACTTTGTGGAATAGATTTGCTGGATTACTGTGATTACTGCTCTCTTTTACATTGTTATGTATATTATTATTCTTATTTTATTAATAAATAAATTTTTTATATTACCTAACCCATATCTTATTTTGGTCTGGACACAAACAAAGGTTTGATTATTTTTGGTTTTATCTTTTAATGTGTGGAGTTTTTTCTTTTTTTTTTTTTACAGTTTGCCACCAAAATCATATCAAAGATTCCAGTTCGGTCCAAGTATAGACAAGGGAGTCGTTTTAAAACTCCTTAGTGCTTTTAAAATTTATTTATTTATTTATAAAGCTGGTTTTCTGGGGTGCTTAAAATGGATGATTTTATAGTATCTTTTTTTTAAATTTACACATCCATGCCTACAGTGGGTGGTTCAGTTGGGATGTGAGCGTGAAGTTGCAAAGCTTCAAATTTGGTAAAAACAAAACACACACACAAATAAGACAAAACAACTTTCAACGCTATTTTTTGCTGTGGTGTGCACTCAGTTCTTCAAGCCAGTCTAACTTTGAAATACACAGGCTATAAAACTCATCCTCTGGGAACAACTGGCAAAGAGGGAGGAACGTGTTGATCACTGCTGCTGTACCTATGATTGGTTGAGAATCTCAGGACAGCTCTTATCATTACCACCACCCTAAACTATGGTCTGAGATGTATAAGGAGCCAATGAAGGGAAATGAACTCTGGTGTAATGTGGTCAAGATTTTTGGATTTAGTGAAAATTCTAGCAGCAGCATTTGAAGACTTTTAGTACTAGCATGTAGCAGCCTTGTGAACAAAATGTTAAAAGTCTGGATGATACACAGGTCTTTGCATTGAATAAAAAAGTCTTATTGGTGTGTTGATTAAAAAAAGAGGGTAGGATCAATAAATTCTTGACTATCTGGCTTTGAAGAATTACACAGTTGTCAGAATTTACTGTTACTTGATCAAGCTGGCATCTGTATCAGGCTGTGCCATTGACCAGCATCTACTGTTAAGATTTATCTTAATTTACGAGCAGGACATTTTGTGAAATTCAGCTTTCCACAGCAGACAAGCAGGTCCCTGGTTTTATACTGTATTATAATCTGACTAATATGTGAATATATGAAGAGAAAGGCAGAGGGCCAGTTACGGAGCCCTCAAAAAATGTTGCATTTTTATAAAAATTTATTCTTTCAGATAAGTAATATTTTAATTATAATTAATTATATCTATATAATTCTACTGTCAGACTTTTAAATGCATAAAGGCTAGAACTAACCAGCCAGATCTGTGTGTGGGTGCAGTATACTGCTTGTGTGAAAGGTGCATTCATGCACCCATCAGCGTTTTATCTCTCTCCCTGTCATACAGAATAACAGAAAAACAGCTCCCATTTTTCCATAGCAATTTCATAAACAAGGATCGGATTTGAACTCCTGTACAGTAAGGGCGGGCGCAGTACGTCTCACGTCACGTGACATGAACAGTTACTCCCGAAGAAGCGGAGGAAGGTGTTTGCCATCTGTCATTAAACAGAAGAAGAAGAGGAGGCGGGGGAACAGGAAGACGAGTAGAGAGTTGTTATAAGTTTGTTTTGTTTAGAATTAGGATAATGTAAAGGTGGCGATGGGACTGTGAGCGGAAACGTGCGGGTGTAGCTGCTGCTCTTCTGTCTTTTGTCCCCGCATGCTCCGAGAGAGACGGCGTCGCGATGTTTTCAACCAACATGGAAACAAAAAGAGTGGAGATCCCCTCCGGTGTACTGGACGACCTCTGCAGGTAACCACATTAGCTGGACTAAACCGCTGTTTGCGCGTCACTGTGCAAGTGCAAGTGGCGCTGACTCTGCGGGGTATGTCTGTAGTTGTTGCTCGGTTGATGTCGTAAGCTACATCGTGGTCGTTGTTGTTGTTGGTAACTCAGGCAGGTGTTGTTGATCCGTTTCTGTAGTAGTAGTAGTTGCTAGCTGAACTCCTATTGAACCATGCATGTAATTTAGTTGTTTGCCCGAGGAGGTGCTAGCGCAGCTAACGTTCAGCCGTGTCTGTGGTAGTTGTTGTTAGGTCATCTGCTCAGAAACCGTCAATAGTTGTCTGCAGGGTGGATTAAGAAGGGTTGCAGGCCTGCATGTTTACGTCACAGACGTAGGGCTGCAAAATGTTATGATCTACTGGTCTCTTTGCGCTCTCAAACATCGATACCAAGTACCACTTTCCTTCACTACTACTATGTGCCAGGATTAAAACTAGCTTCATCCGAACTTCCTGCATCATGGCTTTGTTTACCAGCTGCTATAATGGTCAGTTCTGCTAGTCATTTTAATATTACTTAGTTTGTCATCCATCACTCTTACTGCTGCTGCACTTGCTTATTAACTGTTATATGTTTTGTTATTATTTTTGTAATAATAACTTTATTGTAGTGTCAATAGACACTTATACGTTTATAGACTGGTGAAAAATTAAAGGACATACCTGAACAAATGCACAGTGCCTCCATCCATAGGACATTAGGGGTCACTGAATGGTTTGATGAGTATAAAAATGAAGTGAATCATATGCTATGGCCTTCACCATCACCAGACCTCAACCCATTTGTACACCTATGGGAAATTTTTGGAGTGACGTGTTAGACAGCGTCTCCACCACCATCATCAGTACACCAAAATGAGGGAATATCTCTTGGAAGAATGTTGTTTATCCCTCCAGTAGAGTTCAATCAATGCCAAGGTGCACTGATGCTGTGAGAGTTCAATCAATGCCAAGGTGCATTGATGCTGTTCTGGTGGCACGTGATGGCCCAACACCTTACTGAGACTCTTTATGTTGGTTTGTTCCCACACTTAAGGTGATATTGCAGAGAATTAGGATGCTGACCACTGTGATGAACATCTTTTCTTTTGTTTTGTTTGAAGTTCTTTTACTATCTGACTGGAGTAGAAAACAACTCTGTGCTTGGTTAACACTCCCATGCACCACAAAATATTTGCATGAATTTTATCTTTCTCAAATTCTACACATCGCACCGCTGAGCAACTTCTGAATCTCTCTGTAGTGATGGGCAGCACCAGGACATCGTTTAAGGTTCAGTTCGTAATGAATGGTATCTTTTTGCATATCTGCTGTTTGAGACTGTATGTTTGAATGTAGAGCGACACATGTGGTGCTCATTGTCCTCCCAGAGCCTCCTAGTGTGACAACTGGCTCTGATCTTCTTTCTCCTGTTTTTCCTCCAGTCGGTTCATCTTGCACATCCCCAGTGAGGAGAGGGACAATGCAATCCGGGTGTGCTTCCAGATCGAGCTGGCTCACTGGTTCTACCTAGACTTCTGCGTGCAGAACACTCCAGGAGCTCCTCACTGTGGAATTAGAGACTTCGCCAAAGCTGATATCTTTACATGTGAAGGATGATGTTAAATGGCCTCATCACTTATTTTTTTTATGTTTTCCGTTCATTAATGCACATTGATATTTACTGTATATACTCTGTGATGGACTGTACACGCTCCAAAACATACAGTGTTGAATTTGTTGTAATAACAACCAGCCAAAAGAAGCATACAGTGTTGAATTTGTTGTTGTAATAACAACCAGCCAAAAGAAGTAATCAGTGATTTTTAGATATAAACTAACATGAGCAATGTGGTTTTGTTTCACCTTTTCAGGCTCATCCAGCCAAATGTGCCTACATTGGTTTAGATGTTTACATGTTGTATTCCTTGACAAATGCAAACTCTTTCACCACTGCCCGTTTCTGTTGCCTCATGGAGAAGATGTGCAGAAAGTCCTTGAACAGTGGAAGGAGTACAAGATGGGTGTACCTACTTATGGAGCAATCATTCTAGATGAATCACTAGAAAATGTGAGTTGTTTTGCTCACTGGACTCTAAATTGTAAATCATTTTAACAACCATAGTTGTCACATTGCCTTAAAAATGTGAGCTAACTCTAATGTAAACCAAGAGAAAAGAGGTTTAGTAGATTCACTAAAATTAAACTTTTTAGACATATGAATTTACTCTCATCACAACAAGACAGATCACAACAGTCACCTCCTTCCTTAATGCATTCATGAACAAAAATATATATATATAAAAAAAAAAACAGTGCTCAAACAAAAGTGCATGAATGAAATGCGCTATATCCTACATTGTGCTATGAAGCTCCCATGCTTAGCCCACTGTGATTGTGAGGTGTGGCTGAAAGGACTTTGGTTTGAGCCTTGACACCGATCTTGCAGGTCTAAAAGAGTCACACCTCAGATAGTCCTTTTCATGTAGACCTGGAAGTATAGCAGTTCATGCTTTAATTTTTTTAAAAAGCTGAGTCATTTCCTAAAATAACCAAAAACTGTGAAAAAGTGATTTTATTTGCAACTATCATTAATTCTCCTTTACTTTCTGAAGTACTAGGAATATTTTATTTAACTGCAGCATCTTTTCTCTTAAGGTACTGCTTGTTCAGGGCTACCTTGCAAAGTCAGGCTGGGGCTTTCCAAAGGGCAAAGTTAATGAAGACGAAGCTCCTCATGACTGTGCAGTGCGTGAAGTGAGTCACTTTCTTTTTCCTATGCAACTTTGACCAATTGAAAGCATTAAGAGCCACATATATAATTAAAGCTTTTAGATTGTTCTGTTGTTGTTCAAAATGTATGTCTTCCAGGTGTTGGAGGAGACAGGCTTTGACATCAAGAATCGCATCTGCAAAGAGATTTACATAGAACAGAAAATCACTGACCAGCTGGTGCGGCTCTACATCATACCAGGAGTGTCAAAGGATACCAAGTTCAACCCCAAAACAAGGAAAGAGATCAGGGTAGGAAATCAGTTTTTTTTTTTTAAACGCATTTGGTTTGTAGCCTTTTGAAATTGATCAACATTTCATTATCTTCTCCTTCTCTTCTAGAACATTGAATGGTTTTCTATCGAGAAACTGCCATGTCACAGGAATGACATGACCCCAAAGTCTAAACTTGGACTTGCCCCAAACAGGTTTTTCATGGCCATTCCATTCATAAGGTGCGTGTGTGTATAGAAGGCTGCCATTTGTTATTTACATTACTGGAATATCCATTAAAGTACAAAAAGACCTGTAAAAGTAACGATGAGTGGTTGCCTCAGTGTTGTTGAACTTTTATGTTTCGACTTTCAAAACACGATTTAGCTTCATTATAGTAGTTGACTGATATTGATGGCACATTTTCTACTCCCCCTGTACAGACCTCTGCGAGATTGGATCAGCAGGCTGAAAGGCGAGTCAGATAGCGATGAGGACTTTACAATCAACAGCAACACTCCCTGCAAATCTTCAGACAGCACTCGGTAAAAACACTTCATCAGTCCTCTCTTGAATTTGCTGCTTTTGTTCTTGATACCATTAGATTTTTAAAAAAATAATAAGTATCTGCTGATATGGATTCTGATCTGACACTGATGTTTACCTACAGTAAATGTTCATTAATTATCTGACCTAATAAAATTAAAACTAATCTGGCACACTGTATTTTTGGAGTGTGGAGCTTTTTGATCCAAATACTGGATCAGGTCCTGGTTCCAAAATATTGTTAATAAACTAAAATTATTGATATGAATAAAAGAATAACTGGGAGCTGAACAGCACACTGTCAGAACTACAGTGGGGCAAATAAGTATTTGATACACTGCCAATTTTTAACATTTTTCCACTTACAGAGAATGGACAGATCTGTAATTTTCATCGTAGGTACAGCTCAACTGTGAGACACAGATCTACAAAAAATTCCAGTAAATCACATTGTTAGATTTTTAAATAATTTATTTCCATTTCATTGCATGAAATAAGTATTTGATACAATAGAAAAATAGAACTTAATATTTGGTACCTAAACCTTTGTTTCCAATTACAGAGGTCAGACGTTTCCTGTAGTTCTTGACCAGGTTTGCAAACACTGCAGCAGGGATTTTGGCCCACTCCTCCATACAGGTCTTCTCCAGATCTTTCAGGGTTTGGGGCTGTCGCTGGGCAACACAGAGTTTCAGCTCCCTCCATAGATTTTCTATTAGGTTCAGGTCTGGATATTTCAGGTTATTTCTTAACCTAAAACAAGTATTTTTAAACAGTAAAAATACACATGGTTCCTAACATAACTGCAACCTGCTGTGTTTGTTAAGAAATTTCACAGTGCATCTTTAATCCTCAGTCACGGTTTACATTAGCTGCCTAGTCTGGCTCACTGCTGGAATTGAGTCTGTGGAGGTCTGTGTTGATGTGTTTTTGTATGACAGTCTGTTTGTGAGAATCAGTGCACTGACGCTGGTTTTCATGCAGTAAGTACTGTCAGCAGTGTTTAATCTTTAATAGAGTTAAAGTGGTGCTTTAAAATGAGTGTCCTTGATGTTCCAAGAGAAGGAATACCATGTAAACGAGAGCAAGTGAGGATGCGTTGGCGCAGTCACTGCAGCAGCCTCTCGCAGTGCAGCACTGAGGTCCTCTGATGATTTAAGTGTACAGTTGGTTGTCTCTATGTGTACTGTGTGTGTAGTTGTCTGTTGTTGCATTTTAATGTAAATAAAGGGGCCATGCCTGGCACCACTACAGGGCCCTTTTCTATCAGCACAGCCTGCTTAGGCCTACCCAAGACTGGTTCTCACACACAGCCAGTCTTGGCCTGGATCCAACCGTACAGACAGCCAGCTGGCTCGGTCTGTCTACCAGCTCAAACATGGCTCCAGTGTGTGGCTGGGGACCTGCTCTTGAATTCAGATTTATTTTATGAAAGCAAAGTGAACAAATGTGAAGTGAAATGTGGGTTATTTTTTTTCAAAAGATATGTATGCTCTTCCTTATTTTAAGAATTTCTTCTGGATGGCATTGTATATGGTTTATTGTTTAGAGAATAATGTATAAAACATGGCCATGTATAATAATTGGTGGTCATGTTAAGAACAGTTTTGGATTCTGCTGTCTTATAATATTAACAAGTACATCTGTTTTTAAAAGGTTTGATGCATCATAGATGTTTCAGTTTTACTAAGAAAAGGTGAAATGGCTGGTTCATCAAGACAGGAATGCAAATTTTAACATTGTCCTCGGTTTCCAAAAATGTCCTCAGTCTGTAGCAAAAAAAACAAACAAAACTTTTCTCACTATGTAGCAAGTACAAGAACACACGCGCACACACAGATTAGATGCAGAGGAGTACAGATCTGTGGTTGTGCTTCAATCTGGATATACTGTACTGTGTTAGGTATTTTTAGTCAGATAGATATTGGATAGATACTTTATGTATTAGAAATGTTTAGTGGAGATAGGATGTCTAGTTAGACTGTTAAATGCTTAGTCATGCTTATGAGTTTCTACAGGGTACATCTGGTCAAGGATAACTAGAGAGAAGAGTTGATGACTGTCAGCAGACAGGATGTTTAATATTATTATTATGACGTGTATAACTGTAGCCTTAGCCATAATAGGTTCTTATGTTTAAGCCACGACATGTTACTAGAGGTCGTGAGAATGTTTTTAGCTACACACCACTTAACCAACAGACACACACA